AGATAAATGACAGTACTATTCTAGACAATTAATGCCAATTTTTGATAAATCAATGATTTAAGCAATTTCATTTAACTTTGCTTTCTGTTTTCTTAAACGTGTCATAAAAATCCGCAGTTTAGAAGTAAAAGAGAAGGAAAAGGGGGGAGGGGCTCTTGCGAATTTTCTGGCAACAGTCGACTTTTCGCTCGCGTAATCGGATTCAATTCGTGGCCTTCGCGTCGTGATCGTCGCGAGCCTTTTACTTTTTTTGTATTCTCGAACATATGGACAGTGTTGATCGGTTAACTCTCGCCGGTTCAACGTTTATACGAAATCATACACTCTGGTGGATTGTGATGTGTTTCGAGGTGTGTCGACGTAGATTTTTATCGTAACCAAAGCAACTAAGGTAACTGTACATCGATTGATCGACTGTAGTTCTTGGATCCACAAATGGACGAGACACTCTCGTTAAGGCCTGGGATTATGCTGAAATTTCTCTTCTCTTCGTCCAACAGAGATAAGTGGAACGAGACCGTGAGAGACAGACACGACACTTGTTCTCTGCGTCTCTCTGCTTTGTAAACGCGTGATTGATTGTGTTGCTGTTTGATGATTCATATTTGTTTGCCGTAATTGCTAGACTGCGGATCTTTGTGCAGATTTATGTATTCTTGCATATAAATTCTTGATTTTAAAAAAATGAATGAAGATGGTAGAGATAATATGTTGTACAATATGCTACGGAAATAATATGTTACAACTTTGGTTATTTCACGTATTTGACGTACAGAGAAATCGTAGTATTTACATATCTGAGTTTAGAAATACGGTCTACACAGTTCGTCAAGAACCAGACACCAGTAAAAATACGAAGTCACATTCGAGAATTATTTCCATTGGGACTAAAATATTTCAATTATCCTAATCAAGATGGTACTGCCAATTAAGAATTTTTCGTGCAATTACTTTTGTAATGATTTAAAAAAGAAAAACGTAAATAAGAGCCACTAGTGTTTTTTTTTTTTTTTTTAATAAAATCACGCACAATATACGCACATGTATATACGGATGTTACGCACAAAATCATCGAAGATCTACAGTCAGCTGCAGAATACATACACCTATGAAACTTTAAATATTTGAAGCAAAAAATGTCTTTAAAATTCTCAAACGTTTTACATTTTTTTCTTCAGTTTCTTACATGAATGAAAGGAAAGATCAAAGAAAATTCGTACAATAATATCATATGTAATCATATTTTTATTGTAATCGTGATAACAACAAGAAATATCTTCAGAATCTCTACAACTTGAACTAAAAAAAAAAAGAAAAAATTCTTCAAATATTTGAAATTTGTTAGAGTCCAGTAAGATATCTCAGGTGTACAATTCTCATCTCAGCAGCCAAGAAAATATTCCTAGAAACTGACTCGATCTCGTGTCAATGCTCGAACTCGTGTAAATCACGCGAAAGAGAATAATGATCCCAGGTGTCGTCGACGATTCGACGAGAAGGAATGATCGATCGAACGACGACAAAAACTGAAGGGCTTGGGCTCGATGTTCGTTCGTGAGTCTTCCGTCAAGTGTTCCCCCATGAAATCGGACCCGAGTCCCTTGCGATCGTTTGTCCCAGTCACGGCGAAAAGTGTCAATTAAAAATCGTGTGAAACGGATCAATTGACGGACGCGCGTCATACACCTCGACAATCGTTCCTCGAGAAGACGACGTATGTATGTACACAAGTAGTGACCAAGTGCGACAATCTTAACATCAACGATCTGCCTTAAGAATCTTAGAAATCCTGTCTTGTCGGAGACAATTGTCATGTCCCGTCGCGCGAATCCACGGACCTTAGACTGAGATTTGTTTAAGAAGAACGACGGTTGTGCGTACAGCGATGTCATTACAAAGAATCGACTCGTCAAATTGCGCGTAGATATTTCCCTTCTAGTTCTGTTGTTACGATTGCTAATTTCAAAAATCCTTCGATCTTCCTCTTTTCAACTTTCCGTGCGTCTCTTCCGTGCCATCCTCGAGACCCGAAGAATCGTCTTCTTCTATTATTATGTCAAGGAAAAGGATGGTAGTAAAGTTTGACGAAAGAGAGAAAGAGAGAGAGAGAGAGAGAGAGAGTTTGGGCCAGAAAACTTCCAAGACCGTGATCTCAGGGTTAAACTTCCTTACACTTGATTTTGTATGTCGATCTAGCGCAATGCGTTTCCGGA